TAGGGTTTTTCGAAATGCTGACATGCCGAGCTCAAAAGGTTAGCCATCACTGCTATAGACCATTGAAGGCCCAAAGACAGACTAGTAATAGAAATAGACTATAGACCATTGAATTAAAAAGAAATCCATATATGCAAACAGATATGATGGCCCAAAGACAGAATAGTAATAGAAATAGACTATAGATCATTGAATTAAAAAGAAATCCATATATGCAAACAGATATATGTTTCTAAATAGGGAAAGAAAAAATTTTCCTTTCAATAAAATGCCAAGTCATCTTTGTAGAAGGAATGATAGAATTAGAAAACAACCATTTGGTAACCATCATAGTAATAATGAATCTAGTCAAGAAACATCAAGGGATAATAGTTGGTAAAGTTTGATGAGAAGAGAAATACATACGGTCTCAAAGTACTTTCTCACAAAGTGCTTATTAATTACAAAAGGAAAGTAAATAGCTTTATAGTGGAAAAAACTGATAGACATACCCCCTTTATCAAATAATCAAAGTTAACATCACCAGTAATGGGACAAATCAAGAGCAGGTGCCACCTGACAGGAGGCAGTGAGAACACAGCATCTCTATCATCAGTTAGGTATATGAACTTGGCCAAATAATGCACCTTTTTATACTTCTGTTCCTTTATCTGATAATATCTCATTTCCATTCCAGTGCTAAATTCCTACTCTCCTAATACTTATAGAACTAATCTAAATATATGTCATCTGTTCAGAACTTGACAAGGGGAGGTAGAAACTCTTCTCTCTGTTTAAGTGGCTGATGTTCTTATATAAGTAAATCAGGCATAAAGTGCACAAAATGACATATATAGCAAAACTTATGAACTTGATCTAATTTTACAGGGAGTCCTGGAAAAGTCAAAAATTGAGAGTTTTTAAAACAATAATATTCTTTCTTTTCAAGGACATACTTGAGTTCAAACTAGGGTAGAAGAATGGTTATATGTAAATGAGTGCTTATATAAATAAGTGCTTGGAAGGGCTTTTCCCTTAAAACTGAACATGCCTCCTCCCACTTTGTGAACACTGTCCAGGAGCCTAGAAAAGTCTCTGAGGTATGAAGAAAGCTAACAAGCCTTTCAGCCAGGCACTCACACTTTCCAATTACTATGAGCATCCTCAATACAGGACAGAAATCTCTAGTTGGACAGAAGTCACTGCTTTCAGAAGGGTCAGATTAATGTCATGTAGTTAAGCAGGAAAGAACGGTTCTGTCAAATAACTCAAGCCCTCACAGAGCAATTCAAATTATTAGCAACCTCATAAATAAATCAGTCATATCAATATTCAACTGGCAGATCATCAAAAAGTCTAAACTGATCCTATTATACCATTTGGCTTTCATTATCAGTTTTTACGCTAACAGAAACACATTAATTGGTTAATTAGACATCTTTATGGTTGGGAGAGCCAATTTGCAGTAATTATTTTTACTAAATTTTTATATTATCCCTTCAATATACAGAACCAACTATATATGTTCAAACTCTCAGAGTTCCTAACAGTTCTGTTAAATAATAAGTTACTAGCTCATGTTTCTTGTTTAATTATTCTTCCTTCCTACACTAAAAACATACACTAATTATAGTACCCTCAATCAGTTGGGCCTGTTTCCTCTCTTTCATCTCCTATGTCCAGTCAGTCAGAAAATACTGCCAACTCTTCCTTGTCAAATGTCTCAAGAATCCAATTCTCTCCTCCCACAGCCAGGTCCTCATCACCCACACTTGGTTTAGCACAAAGACACAGCATCCACTATGGCTTTTCATGTCTGCCGAGACCTACTAACCAATCTGATGTGGCAACTCTCTCTCCAGCTTTTATTACTGCAAATCCGACCCAAATTATTTCTACTCGAGAGGTGGGGTTTTTTGTTTTTGCTTTAAAATATATTTGTATTGATTTCAGAGAGAAAGGGAGAAGGAGAGAGAGGTAGAAACATCAATGATGAGAGAGAATCAGATTGGCTGCCTCCTGCACGCCCCCTACTGGATATCAAGCCCAAAACCCAGGCATGTGCCCTGACTGGGAATGGAACCGTGACCTCCTGGTTCATAGGTTGACCCTCAACCACTGAGCTACACAAACCAGGCTACTCAAGAGGTTTTTCAACTAGGTTCATGAGACAGGGGCAAGACCTGAGGTAAGACCACAGCTTCTCTTCAAGTTGCCATTAATCTGTTGCATGTCACTACTTTGGTACACATAGTCCTAACTGTACTACTATTCAGCCTACATTCTTCCATATTCCATTCTTTATGTATAAATGAATCTATTACATTACTAACTAAAAGTTGAATAACCCATATCTTCAGCATTTCCCTCACTAATAAATCCTGGGTCTCATTTGCGGGCACCCTCTCCTCTCTTGGCTTTCTGAAAATAGAGTAATCTAGACTCAGACCTCAGCATTCTTATCCTTTCTATTTTCATTCCATCTCTAGGTAATCTCATCTAGTCCCATAATCTCTTTATACTGAAAACTCCCAAATTTATATCTTCAGCCTTGCTCTTTCCTAAGCTCCCACCTCAAATATCCAACTGTATACTCAGAATTTTTCCTGAGCAATCAGGTATAAGCTTGTCCAAAGGTTTACCCCATCTCAGTAAATGGTTATCACCATCCACCTAATTACTCAAGTCAAAAACTTTGAATTTACCCTCTACCCTTCCATTCACTTACCTCCCAACAATATATCTTTCTGACCTATATCCCAAATTCAATCTCTATTGCTGCCACTCTAGTCCAAGTTATTAACATTTCTCATCTGGATTATGCCATCGATTCCCTACTGGTGATGAGGTTCTGTCATTCATTCAGAATGACAGATTTTGCCGAAAAAGAAAAGTTAACTTAACATGATGTACATTCAATGAAACCATATTGTTGTTGGAAATGACTACCTTGTTTCTTCCTTTTCTCATTCTCTGTACTTTCCTCTTTCTATGTGTATCTCCCTCCCTTTTTCTAACTCCTTTCCTTTTCTCTCCCTCCTCTCAATTTTCTCTTTCTCTATTTCTCTCCCTACTGTTTTACTAAACATAATGTAGTGGGAAGATACTAGGCCTTAGACTTAGAAGTAAAGGATTTATTCCTTTGGTCTGTCATGGTGAAGGTAGGTAATTATGATGAAGTAAATTTGTACTTCTGGTCCTCAGTTGTCTCATCTATTAAATAAAGAGATTGTACTGGATAGTCTCTGAGGTCCCTTAAAGTTCCAGAAATCTATTCAGGTTACTTATTGAGTTATTGAGTAAAGTGCTATGTTCCTTGTTCTTAAAAGTAGGTAAATTCAATATTTTATATTTCCCTGAGGGGGGAAAGCAAATTAGTTTGGTGTTGGTTTTTTACAAAGCCTTCCATTGATCCTTTTCTATCATGGGTCAGTGGCTCTCAATAGAAAAAAAATACCCCTCTCCTTTGGCATACTCTATATGGTCAATATCTCTATAGTTATTTCTGTCTTTGGGCCTTCCTCAGGACAAGCAGATCCCAAGAAGAAGCCAATATGCCACTTAATATGAAGGCTATCATGTTTTAGGCACTTAATGTGTTCCAGGCTCTGTGCTGAACCTTTTTTTTTTTTCATTTAATCATCAAGACAAACCTACATAAGGTAGGTATTACATTATCACTCCTCTTTCACAAAAGAGGAAACTAAGATGCAAAGAAGTTAAGAAATTTGCCTAAAGATGCACAGCCAATGCATGGTGGAGCCAAACTTTGGACCCATGTCTTACTCAAAAGCCCATGCTCTGAAATATTAGACTATACTACCTCCCTCCTGAGATGCTAAAGCCCTGCAGTCTCTCTTACAAGTCTCTATCTCCTTTTGGACTGACAAAACATGTGGCTTCTGATGTCTTAGACCACATCCTAGCCACTACCTGACCTGACAATGTCAACTAAACTACAAGGATTTTAAGAGCAGAGGCTAGTGATTTCTTATGGTACTGGTAGCAGCCATGTGGACACTCAGTAAATGCTCCTGACTGAGAAAGGCAAGCAATTTATACATGGTGAAAAGCAACTTACACAGCTAGGACTTTTTGCTTAATGCAAATTCTGGTGATGCAAAGGTTAGGATGAAGGAGAGATTGTGCTAGGACTAGAGGTATGGCCAGGCTTCCCATAAAGTCTAATTCCATGACCTCATTATCATTTGCAGAAAATAGAGCTATTGGTAACCCTAGAGAATTACTTTAGAAAATGGCTAAAAAAAATTGTTTTAATTAAGACTCTAGGTATTTAAGTGAAATATCAGGTCAGCACATTTGTGGAAGAATTTTTCTTTTTTAAATGCTTCAATAGGTCTTCAGAAGTAGAATTTAATTTGCATGACCATTTCCTGAGCAACATCAGAACAGAATCAATTCTCAAGGTATCTTTTGTACCAGAGGAATTTATGAGTTTCCTGGCCAAGAGGGCCAATTGGCAGAGTCTCTAAACTTCTGCCTCCCACCCCCATCTCTAAGAGAACTGTGCCTGGATAGATAGAAAACCTTGGATGCCTTTCTGGGACACTGGTTTGGTGCTGATAAAGGCAAAATGTTGTAGCATTGTGAGATGCCATTCAAATATCTTCAACCCATCCTTGGGATTGATTGTCTGTATCTCCTTAAAACAAAGAGTTTAGAAGGACAGAAATACCAGACTATTCTTTAGAATGTTCTTCACTTGGGGAACTGTAACATTGGTGAAGAAACAGCATGAGCACCATCCGTAGACAGACACAACAAGGTCATCAAGGTGGTGGGCAGGAACTCCCAATGGAGGCCAGCCAACACCCAAGCAGCAATAGCAGAACAGATGTTTGAGAGGTTGACAGTTTCCATGGAGAATATGTGCATTAACCAGAACCACGCCAAAGAAAGGAAGAGCTTGGAAAGTGGAAAGGGGAGGAAAAGATTGAGGTCCTATTGATTCCACCTGGTAAGTTCTCAAGGTTAAAACTATTTGTGATCATCACCTTTACCTTGTTTTTTCAATCCTACCCCCTCAAATTGGTGTGACCTGGAAAAAAAGAATTAGAAACATTGTCAAATAACAGTATTATATCTACAGACAAAATATTGATTCTGGATATTTCTTCCTTTTCTTATACTTCCTTGGTAGGAACATTTTTCTAGCCTATCTAAGAGATGGCAGCAATCGAGCCTGTTCCTGATTTATTTTATCTAGTCAACTGCAACACACAACAAAACCTCGGCCAAGAAACAATGACAACAGACATAAAATTCAGGTAAACAAACATAGTTTTTCTTTCTCTTTACTCAAAAAAGGTAATATTATTGACTCTACCTACGAAAAGAACATTAACTATTTTATCCGCCCCTCAGAACTCTCTTTTTTTTCTGCCTTCTTTTAAAAACGAACTTTTAAATTCGGTAATATTATTGACTCTACCTACGAAAAGAACATTATTTTATCCGCCCCTCAGAACTCTCATTTTTTTCTGCCTTCTTTTAAAAACGAACTTTTAAATTCCAACTTTTCTTAAAGCTTATTGAGATGTGACATTCCAAGCAATCTCTGAGAAGTGTAAAAGTGAGTATAATAGCTGTGATTAACTCTGTTTATATACCAGACACACTTACATTTCACTATAAATATTCCACATGAAAACCTCTGAAAGAGAGCCAATTATGGTGAGAGGTTTATCTATGTGACATTTGTCAAAGAAAAAAATAAGCTTCAGTTTCTATTTGGAAAAATTATTTCCTGGGATGATGTAAGATTGTACATTTACCAACCGGAGAAAAAATGAGGAATAGAGCTAAAATGATAAAGTGCATATAGTTTAAGTTGTAGGCTTCTCTCTGCCCCCTGAACCCCCATACTATCATAAAAACACAGAGTACACATACAAGAAAATACTAGTTCATATCATCTTCATTCCAACAGTAGCACTGATCACTGAGGGAACATCAGTGGAAACAGAAAATTTCCTATCACATGTGCTCTGCTATTAGAAAAATCCATTTTGTTCCTAACCTTACAGCTCAAAGTAAAATTACAATTTGAAATGAAAATCGTTCTTGCCCTTACAACTCTTACTTGGAATGTGTTACCTTCATTTTGTTGTTCCTCCACAACTTGTCACTTACTGTTAATTTTAGTTTTTAGGGGGAGAAAAACACAATTTTTCAGTGTTCCTGTTCACTTTTCTGTCCTTTTTGCCCCCAAGGCTCTTGATTACAAATGTAGCCTTCAATCAAACTTAGCAGATGAGTTTGAATACATATTGCAATGCTAGTTATAACCTCTGGGTTCTGGTCCTTTGGGGGCCCTGGAAGTTCTGCTAATCCAATCTTGAAAATCAGTCCTTTTAACCAAAGTATTTCTCAGAAAAACATCTATACATACAGCCAGACAGTCCATAGGAACAGGACTATTAGACATTAGTACAGCCCTACCAATGACTTATAGCCAGCATCTGCTGTGACAGGTTATAGCTTCTATTTTGATTGGTCAATGACCAAGCTAATTCAGCTGTTAAATACTTTTTAACATCCAGAATATAAGTCAAAGAAAATCTTTATTAAGTTCACTATCAAATCCTTTAAGAATAGAATATATCTACCAGACAACTGAGTTCATTAGCTCTTTATATCCTTACAATATCACTCCACTATGTAAAAAATAAATAGCAGCTTTTCCACCTATCTTTTTCAGCTACCATCAAACCTTCACAGCAAAGCCTTGGGCAAGACTTAGCTACACCTACTACCTTTATCACCTCACCTTCCATTTATTCTCCCAACCCCATTCCTCACTATCGCATCTTGTCTCCCACTGGCATCTACTCCTATTGCTCCCCAGAAAGTGCTCTTAAGAGGTCACCAATGATCTTTATTGCTTACTCAGTGGGACCTTTTCTGTCTTTATCTCAATTGATTTCTCTCAGTATTTCACCCTATTGACCACTTCTTCCTTCTTGAAACTCTCTCCTCCCATGGCTATTGAAATATTTCCCTTGATTTTTCTCATATCTCTATTTCTCAACCTTATAACTGTCCCTTTTCTCCAAAAACACCTGAAACATTGGTATTCTGTAGATCTTTGCTCTGTCTGTAGTCTCACTTAGGGTGATCATATTCCCTGCTGCCTCTATATCAATATGCAGTATTGCAAATGTACAAAGTAAAACTCAGGTTTTCCTTAAAATCTGGTACTCAGTCTACAGCTCCTAGTTCAGCAATGACTCCACCAACCAACCAACCCATCACCCAAACCCAAAATCTGGCTATTACCCCTGACTTCTTCCCACTAATCCCCATATCCTATAGCTCAACAAATAATTCCAGTCTATTTTACCTTCCTAGTATGTCCAGAATCTTTCACAGCTATTCATATATCACACAAAATTCTGCATACAATTTCAGGGTATATCTCTACAGACATGCAAAGAATCCATAAATCCAAGATATCATAGAGAAACATGTGAGGTGAATCAGAGGTGGTGGGAATGTATTTGTTTCAGAAAAAAAAGGAAAGTTTCCCTACATTACACGAAACTATATATCAGAGTCATTAAAGGGCCAATTAATTTTTTAAGCTACAGAGTATTAGGGTAAATATTTTTATAACCTTGGAACAGGTATAAAATTATTAAACCATATAGGAAAGTACTGACAGATTCAACTACATAAACTTCTGGGTAAAGTAAGACACCATGGATATAGGAAAAGACAAGTGTCAAAGTACATAAAACATGGGAAATATATGTAATCCATGCCATTTATATCCATAAGATACCTAAGAAGTGACTATAGTCAATAAAACAAACAACACAATAGGAAAAAAATGTGCAATGGACAAGAACATTTTACAGAAGAGCAAATTGCCAATTAGTATAGAAAAAATGCTCAACCTTTACCAATCAAGGAAACACAAATTAAAACAACTAAATCATTCTTCATCTACCACATTGGCAAATATTAACAAGATTGATAGTGTCCAGAGTTATAAAGGATATGGGAAAAATGGATACCCTCATACCCTGGTAGGAAGGCAATTTGGCAACATCTGTCAATATAAATATCTATATAGTTCTACCCAGAAGTTCCACTGGTAAATCTCTATTCTAAAGAAATATTTGTACCTGTGCACAAAGAAGCATAAACAAGGATATTTACTGCAGTGTTGTTTATCATAAAGAAGCCTAATGCCCACCTAAAGGAGAGGCATATTATAATGTAAAAGAATACAGCTGGGCCCTGGGCATGTGGCTCAGTTGGTTGGGCATCATCCCTTGCATGGAAGGATTGCTGGTTAGATGCCCGGTCAGGGGCACATGTCCAAGTTGGGGGCTCAGTTCCCAGTGGGGGAGCACGCACAAGGCAGCCGATTGATGTTCCACTCTCACATCGGTGTTTCTCTCCTTTCTTCTCCCTCTAAAAATCAATTTTAAAATCTTTAAAAAACAAAAAGAATGTGAATCTCAGAGGGAAGGCAGAGGTGGATGGATGGGAAGAGACCAATCAAAGAATTTGTATGCGCATATGCATAACCATGGACACAAACAATAGTGTGGTCAAGGCTTGGGGTGTGGGGTGGGGGCAGGCTAGAAGGGGTCAATGGAGAATAAAGGGGACGTATGTAATACTTACAACAATATATATTTTTTTAAAGAATGCAGTTGGTCTAAGACATATTGCTCAATGACAAGACAATGTGTATGTATAAAATATCCCATTTACTTTTTTAAAAAACCTACACACTTGAGTACATACATATACTTGGGGGTAAAAAGTCTGCATATCATGAAAACACCAAATAATGGTTACCTCTGAGGAGGGAAGAAAATTCAGGAGGGTGAGAAGATGAGATATTTACCTTCTATAATAATAAAAGCGTAATATACTATTAGACCAGACAGCCAAACGACCTTACGGATGTCCTTCCGGACAACCTTTCATCAAAGCCAGGGCTGCGAGGGCTGAGGCAAGCCGCCGCGGCTGCGAGGGCCAAGTCCCTTGCATGAATTTCATGCATCGAGCATCTAGTTTATTCTATATTTTTCTAAATTGTTTGAATACTTTACAACCAGGATAAATGAAAGTGTGGCAAACTTTTAAGAGAATGTTCCATCTTATTGCCCAAGTCCCTCACTCCTTCTGAACTCTGGAATGTCTCACAATTTGCCTAATCTCTACTGTTCACTGACATTTCATTTAATCCACAAATTGTATACTTTCTCCTAGTCCACACCAGAGCCAGCGGGTCCTGTGGGTGCCCATCACGGCCCTGTCACCTGGAGGTGGGGAGTAGCGTTACTTACCCACTGCAATTCATGGCAGTATCACATAGAAACAGGAGACACTGACCCCACGTTCTGCTTATGCCATTTATTTTGTTCTCTTTGAGGATTTGCAGCGGAGACCATGACTCTGTATAAATTGGTAATGTTCACTGACAGGTCTGTACTCAGTTGTAAGTTAAATGACACTGCTTTCAGAACTTATGTGTGGGCTGTGAAATATGTAAGCTGGGAGTGTTCTCATAACCAAATGGGAAATAGAAATGATAAAATAAACCAAATTGCTTCTGGTAGAGAGCACTGCAGTAATCTGCCGTTAATCCCTCTGCATCCCAGAAATAAACTATTAATTTCCCCTCTGGATTTCCTCAGGATAACCAGGTTCTAATCCATAAGAGTTCTTTCCCTCCCACTTCCAATTACCAGCGTTGAGTTTGTGATTCTGGAGAGACATTTTACCGGCAATGCTTTAAATGCCTAAATAAATGTCATCCTCCTGTTAACACTGTGGCCTCTTAATAAATTTTCTAATGTTGATTGATAGATAGATGATTGATAGATAGGCAGATAGATAGATCTTCCTGAACTACTTTTCAACCAGGCATATTTTCCCCAACATTAACTCTTCTGATAAAATCTGACTTAAATTTTTATCTTCAAAAACCTAGGTATATTTCATATAAGCAAAAAGTATTGCAATAATGTACATGGGGGTTATGTCTCGGCGTTAAGGGCAACATCGATGTTTCGCATTTCCATTTACAAGGAGAAGATACAGACATGGAAAGGCTTAGGTTCCTGGAATTTACAGCAAAATCTGAACCTGGAAATACTACAAGGTTCATTTTTCCTTTCCTACACACAAAACTGGTACCCACCTATGGCTCTAGCACATTCCCATAGCAATCACTCCAGACAGCCCTCAGGCTCAAGCCAGTCCGCACTGCTGTTCAAGTGCTCTCCCAAATACCCACAGGGTGTGGCAAAGTGCAGCTGACGGCCCAAGCAAAAAAGAACATAGAACTCTAGGCCATTCACC